CTGTACATTCACTCCCCCCACCTACAATTCCTGCCGGTACGAGACTCGAACCCGCAACCTTTGGGTTACGAGTCCGACGCTCTAACCATTAGGCCACAACTTCCTAAGTAATATATTAATGAAATACATCAGTCAAGATAGATGGGAAAGTACAAAGTACATACAGAAAGTACACAAAGATCGCGTGTGTGTGTGTGTGTGTGTGTGTGTGTGTGTGTGTGTGTGTGAATATTTGTCAAGAGAAGCAGTGTTCTGTAATTTAACGGCTCTAGTGAGGCTGTCACACAGAGTTTGTATTTGGAAGGAAACCTGAGCCCCGCTTTGCAGCCAGAGCTGAGGTCAGAGGTCACTGGCCCTGTCTAGTTAGGAATGCATTGTGTCATTTGGATATTTCCAAACACGGCCCCCTTAAAATGCTTATTATTTCACCTCAAACACACCGGGCATGTTATTCCCATGCAAGCCTTTCCCCTGCAGTGATAACTGTCATGCAAGTCAAACAAAGACAAGCCTCTCTGCAGTGATGAATGCTGGCTTGCTGAAGATGTACATTTCCATAAGTACAACAGCATGTAAGCATGCATATATTCATATTTGCGCAGACGTATAGTATTCCATATCGCCTCTCCTCTAACCTCCTCTGTCTTTATGGGAGGCCCCACTTAATTCTCTCAAAACATTTCCCCTTTTGAAAAAATGCTGGAACAAAAATGAACACAAGCGGAGCTGAGTCCCTAACTCCAATGCTTACAAATATAGTAAACACCCACCTCCACTATTCATTGAGAAAAAAAAAACAGCCAGGTCTCATTCCTCATCTTAAGAGCAACATCTGTTAGCCAGTTCACCTTGAGGACCAATCAAACACGGTCTCTGTTGTCATGCTGCTAAACCCTGGGTTAGCTGAGACATTATGAAAATGTATGTATTACTTTGTAGTTGTTCTTGATGTATTAAACTTCTAAGGAAGACGTGGGTCTAGAAGACAGGATGACCATTTCCTGGTATTTATTTTCTCATAAGCCTTATACCGTGGCACTATGTCTTGTAAAGTCATCACTCTCTGTCATAAAAGAGAAACACTAGAAGCCTCATGACAGTTCAAAAGAAGGAGAGTAAGTCTAGTAAATTTGCGTTTAACTGGATACATTTCCAATCATACACAAAATCTTGCTTTTTTAAAGCATGTTGGTTATTGTAAATCCCAATAACACCACCAACACACACACACACACACACATACACACACACGTATACATACAGTATATATGTTGGCTGAGCAGCAGTGGGGCAGATAAGTTCTTGCAAGAAGTCTCTTATGCTTACTGCATTTGCAGGCTGCATTTGTTTGACCAAAAATGCAGTAAAAACAGTGATATTCTGAAATGTTCATACAATTTAAAACTAGTTTTCTTACATATTTTATATTAAATTGCATATTAAAATGCAATTTATTCCTGTGATGGCAAAGCCGAATTTTCAGCAGCTATTACTCCAGTCTTCAGTGTCACATGATCCTTAAGAAATCATTCTAATATTCTAATAACTGTAGATTAAAAACACAAGATCAAAAAGATTTAAAAAATTAAAAACATTCTCATCATAAAATAAGTGTATTCAAGTCATTATATGTATGAAACGCATTTTCAATCATGTATTTTAATTCTATATTTTTTTGAATAAATTACTAGATCTGGACAAAAAAGGTTGTCATTTCATTACCCATCTACCACTCCTCCTGTGTGACTGAAAGCGAACGACAGAGACGTGATTATGTTGCACAAATATGAACAAACATGGCAGAGGGTGTGATGTTCTCTAGGCAGAACACTGATGATTAGTTGTGGTGGTGACATTACAAGCCAACACAGCTGCCAATGAGATGCAGCACAGCGTGGAAACATCTTGTGTGGTACAGATCTCAAATTACCTGCTTCATTCCACACATATTCAGAAAACAACTCAAAATAGAATAGATATTCTTACAAGGAACATTACTGTTATGATCACAGTAAAGAACCATTCACTTTTTGACTTATAAGCATGCATGTTACTGGTTTATCTGGACTATAGTAAGATTACACTTAAGCAGCACCAAAGTAAACCTATGTACTGCAATACTTGAAATAAAGTATTTTCTTAAAAAAAAATGGAAAATGGAAAATGAAAATAAACAGTTGGGCAGTATCAAAAGGCGGCAGAATTTCACTTGTGAAACTGTGGAAGTCAGCTCAGGGGACAAATCTAAGGAAAACAGATGATATAAGGTTTCCCTCCTAATAATTTCAGGAATTTCATTATTTCCTATGAAAATATTTGGCTGGCTTTTTGGCTGTACAGAAGGGGAAAAAGTGGTCAGGGAGTTTCATGGTGAGATAAATAAGTCAGCTATAGAGTAAGTGCAAAAAGAGCTTGTTTTTTTAAACGTAGGCCTCTGCTTTAATAAAAGTTCCACTACTGTAGGTCAAAGCCACCTAATCTGAGTTCAATTAAGTTTAATCCACTG